TTCTTATCTCCAATACAGTGCTCTGATATTAGGGCTTCAACATACGAATGTGGTAGGATTGGGGACAGACACAGTTCAATCCACAGAAAAATGTATCCTATATTATGTCTTTGCTTACTTACTAGATTCTGTCTGTTTTCTTTCTCCTGAAATATATACAAATTTCCTGAATCTACCTGTTACTTTTCTTCATGTGCATCATTTTATCCCATTCATACTCAGAGTTGGAGAGAATTTTTGTATCTGGTCTTTTAAATCACTGATTTGATTTTCTGTCATCTCCAATCCCCATGTTGATTGCATCTGAAAAATTCAAACTGCAGGTTTTCTGTGAGGAGAATTCTCGCTTCCTCTCCTCTATGCTTTGTTCACTGACGTGTTCATCCAGGATCTCGGTGACAGCATAAATTAGAGATTTTCTCAAGTTTGTCTGTTTTTTGCAGCAACTTTATTTCATAAAAAGACATTGTTCTGATGACTGCAAACAATGCAGTCGTTAGCCTCAGGAGGCCAGAGGTCCTGCTGCCTCAAACATCCTTGATTGGGAAGGAGGGAGTGGGTGAGGCCAGGACAAGGTCTTGAGCCTTCTTCAAATGTAGTTAAGGTGCTGTGTTCATTACCCATTTTTGCATAACAAACGGCCCCAATATCTAATGCTTACAACAAAAGCATTTATAACATGTTATTTATAATCTGTGAAAACCAGGCCTACCTTCAGTGGTGGCCCTGACTCTGTTGGTGCTGGGGGCATGGTCAGTCTGCCCTGTGAACTCTGCCCCTGAACAGCAGTGTGGCCTCAGCAGACCTCATCCCCAGCCAGCTTCTTCACCCACCTAGGGATGGCAGAGGAGTCCTTGCTTTGCTCTATTATTTTTTCTCACTTGCTTTATTAGGACATATTGGTCACACAGATTAATGGGTTTCATTTGGGCAGATCTACCTGGGATTTACAGGTGGGCTTACAATGCAGGGTCAAGGGTGGAAAATGAGAAGGGGCCATCTACATGCTGCAGAGCCCGCAGACATGGTCAAAAGTCAAAGGCCTGGAGCTCACTGTAGAGTCGTGAATCTATATTGGGAAAGCAAAGAGTCTGCACTGGAAACCTGCAGGTGGCCAGCTGGAGGCAACGGCAAAGACTGGAGCTCCTCTAAAGATGCAAAAAGTGAGCCTTCCTTCTCCTTTCCCTTTTATTCCACCAAGGCTACCAGCCTATTGGTCAGGGCCACCCCCACCAGGGTGGGTCTTCCACCTTCAGTCAGTCAGTCAGTCATTCAGACATGCCCAACACAGTGCAAATCCAATCAGCTGGGTGTTTCTCATTCAAGTTGACACCACAGTTAACTACCGTAACATAATGTATTTAATCACTGCCCTTACCCAACCCACTCTTAGGTTTGGGGAGCCCAGGGTAGTTAAGAGGATAAAGTGTGATTATATTCACAACTCCTTTAGAAGGATGCCTGTCATTTACCATGAACTATAGTCAGCAAATAGCATACTGTACCCTGTTCTCTCAGAAATGCCTGGGTTAAGTTGGGGCTCCAACAGCATCTCTGAATGAACTTGTTTGCTTGTCATTTTCCCCTTGATGGTTATTTCAGTGGAAATAGCCACATCTCCAACTGCACAGCCCTACCCTTGTGCCTTTGCAGATCATGCCCCAAAAGAGGAGGAAAAGGTCTTTCAAGAGTTGTCATTGCAATCTAGTTTGTGCTGCATGGCATCCCATTGCTCCCTCCACCCAGAACACCTGAGAGGACCAGGTGACAGCACCACGGAGCTGGCAATTAAGAAAGCCATAATATTGGTCCATTTTTGTTGCTATAATGAAATTCCTAAGGTAAGCTACTTTGTAAAGAAGCAAGGTTTATGTTGCCTTGCAGTCCCAGAGGTGCGAGGTCAAGAGGCCTCATGTGGCAATGGCCTTTCTGCTGGCAGAGTCCCAAAACAGCACAGAGCATCACATGAGAAGAAGCAGAGAGTGGGCAGGGGGTGCCCCAGGATCCATTCAAGGGGCTATGGTCTGACAACCTTCATCACTTTCCAAAAGTGCACGGTGGGATCACACCTCCACCTCCTCAGTAGCGCATGGTAAGGGTTAAGTTTTACCATGTGTGAAGAAGACAAACAATATCCACCTGCAGCAGCTGCGCCTCAGACCGTGGAAGTAGGAGAGAACCAAGAGCAGAGCAAGCGACAGATGGGGGCGCGGTTTGACCTTGACCTGGGAGGTCAGCAGCTGGGCTGGAGGTGAGAGGTGGCCCCATAGGACCAGGAGATGCTCATGGGGAACCAGGGGGCCGGAGGAGCTGTTCCCAGACTCCCAGGAAACAGTGGGAACATTTCAGGCTCTCCAGAGGCTGGGTCCACCTCCAGGTCACTAGGAGTCGATCTACACATAGGCCATACTTGTCCCCTACTCTGAGGCCACAATGGGCTCGAGCACGTGAGACTGTCCCTTTGTCCCAGGCCACTCCCTCCCTTGACAGCTCCGACTGGTGCTCTATCCCAACAGAGTATGCAGACAAAGTGAGACCCCAGTGCTTCGTGTTAGTTTGTGCAAAGTTGTTTGAAACCAAAAGTGTGGAGAGAGAAAAGGCTACAAGGCTGGCTGCCTTGGGAGGCACCCTAACCGTTCTGAACCCCAACACCAAACTCCCTCACCAGCCGGACCTTGCTGGCTGCAAACCCACCGATAAGGCTCCCCCACACTGTTACTGCTCCTCCTCTGAACACATCTGCAGACACGACCTGACCAAAGTCAACACCACGTCCCCACCAACGATCCTTTAAAAATGAAGATAGAACAAGGAAGTGACCTTTGTCTGATTCAGAGAAAGCCAGGGTCCGTCTGCGCTGATTGCTTAAGTAGATGGTGTACTTTCAAGGACAGCTGCTGAGGGAGGAAGTCAAATGCACGATTTCCAAGAAGCGAAGTGGGGAGTCCGGCTGCTAGATTTCTTTCTCCCCCAACCACAGTTCAGACTGGGGGGACCTGGACCTGGGGGCGGGGGGCCCCTTGAGCTAATCCAAAAGAGAAAGAGAAGGTAATAAAGATTCAAAGATTTCATCCTGAAATAAAGAAATTCGTGTTGCCTTAAATACAATTTGTGTTAGTTACATTTCAATTCCTAATTTATACATAGCAGGGTTGATAAAGAATTACATTATAACAAAATTAGCCTGAATAATTAGCATAGTATGTGTGCCGCTGATTAAACACCCAACAGATAGCTTGGTAATTAAGATCAGCAAGTGCCGTATTTCGAGACTTTGTCATCTTATTATCTGCCTAACAAGTGCTTCATCCTCACCTCCCTTCTGGTTTGAAGTTTGATAGCTCTGCCTGATAATGCTGGTTTTCCATCTTTCCATTGCTTTGTCCTGATTCTGCGTATTTTCCTGCGGCCACAACCCGCCCTCTCTCTGTGTTTACACAAATGTGCTGTATTTCCCCCAAAACCTAAACCATCCGATGCTGCAGAACATTTGCTTTTGGAAGTTCAAGCTTGCAAACCTCTTTCAAAGCCCTAATTCTTTAGCCCAAGAACAAAGCAGAGGCCAAGGACTCTCTTCTATACAGAGAGTGCTGAAGAAATAAAGACAAGAAATCTGGGTTTATAGCCCAGAGTCGGGGGTAAGGTTCAGAAACGTCATCGAGAGCGGGACACTGGCCCTCTATCTGCACCGCTGTCCATAATGTGTTGATCATTCCTCTCAGGTATTGCCTTATGACTACAAACAGACTGCCACAGCTCCAGACATCTGGTCTATATTCAGGGAAAGAAGAAAGGGGAAAGGAGGTAGCAGCCTCTTTAGTCCCTGTCAATTAGAAGAGTGAATGACTTTAGATACACCATACTTGCTTCCTCAGGCCAGACCAGGTCTGATATTACCGATTTAAACCAACGTTTTTCACCCAGGAGCCAGGTACCTCTCCACAGCTAGGAAAATCCAGCTGTGTCGGTGTGGAGAAGAGCAATGAAAGTTGGGCGGGTGCTGGAGTGTCTGCACTGCATGGGCAGGTGGAACAGAGCTCACGGCCCACACACAGGGTCAGAGCGGAGGAGGGTGGGCCAATCAGTTAGGGCTCTGTGGGGATGCAGAGCCAACAGGCTGTGGAGAGCGAGGAGGACAGGGCAGAGGGAGGCACTCAGGGTTGCACGGACTTGCAAAGGCCCAAATCTGCAGAGCTTTAGCAGCTGGCAACAGGAGGCCCAAGACACGGAGATTAGAACATTTCCAACTGAAGTAAAGAAATTCATGTTGGCTTGAATATAACTCGTGTTAGTTACATTTCATTTCCTAATTTATCCATAGCAGAGCTGCAGTTGGAGCCCAAAGGCCACTGAGGCTGAATCCCTTCCTGCATGGATAAGGTCCAGCTCTGTGCTCTCCTGACCTTCCACTGATTGGACGAGGCCCACCCAGGTTACACTTGTGGGCCTGAGTGTAGTCCTAACCTCAGCTGCAAACCTTCTTCTCAGGAACATGAATCGAGGGACCCTACAGTGACTCCTAAGGAGAGCAGAGAGACGGAACAAGGGAAAGGGGCAAGGTGGGGTGCACAGTGGAGCAGGCACCGCTGCAGGCTTGGACTCAACGGGGAAGCTGACAGAGCAGCTGCCTTGTCCACAAGCTGCCTTGGGGTTGAGGGCAGGAAAGCTGGAGGCAGGGGCCCTGGGGGAGGAGAGCCCAGACGCCCCAGGAGAGGAAGGACGTTCACCCCAGGCTTCCGTTTCCCTGTGAGGAGCAAGTGTGCCAGCAAACACTAGGGTCCTCTTGGGCTCCCTTCTGTTATGCTTTTGTCGTCCTGGGCCAGCCCGGCCACCTCTGAACTCAGAAGCCAGATTCCTCTCCTCCACCCTCAGCTGGAAGCACGTGCCATTCAGCAGCCTGGCTTCAGCTGTCCTTTAAAGGGTGGAGCCTGTGGGGCAGGCTATCTCTCACGCTTATCACCGGGGCAGAGGTGCCAAGCCTGGGCTTGGGGGGAAGCTTCTAAAGTTTCCAGCTAGAGCCTCGCTCCTACAGAAAGAGACACTCTGCCATGGTCCCCCCAGAGGAGCTTTTCTTTCCCACCCCGGCCTTGTCTTCCCTCCACACCCCGGCAGCACCACCTCCGCCCCCTCCCGGGCCGCGTGCTGGCCCTCCCTGCTGACTGTAATCGGAGCCACCGTTCTGCTATTCATAGCCACCTGCCTGCTCTGGGGACAGCAGCTAACTTTGCACTGAGACTGGAGGAAAAGAAGAGGGCTGCTGCGGACGCTCAAGGGGTCCCCATGTCCAACTCGGACGCCATGCCCGACTACCCGCTCCACTCCGACGTGGTGAGGAGGCTGAAGTCCGCCCTGGCCGCCCAGCATGAGGAAGCGGTGAGGGAGCTGATCTGCACTGAAGTGGCCCCCGTGGACGCCGTGATAGAGCTGGCCAACGACGACTGGATGAAGGAGCCCTGGCCCAGCTGCCCCCGGGCGTCCTGCTAGGTAACGGGATGGGCGGTGACATCTGGGAGGGAGGGGGCAGGTTACTAACTCGGGCAGGACCGTTCCGGCAGGGAAACAAGCCGTGGGCCAAAAGGCAAACGATGTGTACTTGGACGTCAGACTCTTACACACAGATGAAGTGTGATCAGAATGGTGGTGGGTGTTCATACTTTTTAATTTCGTTACAAGAAAAGACACATTGCCACGAATCCCCTCAAAATACCCGCTCGCTTTGAACACACTCATCCCTTCATTCTTGCCACACTCTGCAGCAGCTCCGGCGTCCTCTTTCCTAAGTGTCTTTAGTTGTGTTGTCATGGCCGACTCCATGTCCTGAACTGATTCAAAATGTTGACCTTTCACGGTCGTCTTGACTTCAGGGAGGAGCCAGAAGTCACAAGATGCCAGACCCAGGGAATGAGGTGGGTGAGGACACTCTGACGTTTTCAGGAGCCTGGCTTTCCATTGGGTGGCGCTTGGCAGCAGCCGTCACCGTATTTTTTATCACACCTCACAGAGACACTCATGAAAGGGAACTTTCAGATCTGTTTCAGAAAATGGCAAGAAGGATGGGATGAGCGTGTTCAAATCAGAGGGCAGGGTTTTGAGGGGGATTCACAGCAGTGTGTCTTTTACTGTAACACATTTTTTAATTTAAAGATTTGCTGTATTTTTTATCACACCCCATTTATGTCAACCTCAGTAACGGACGGAGAGAGATTCTCCAGGCCTAAGAAGCCCGCCTGGGAATGAACCCCACGTGGGAATGCACAGGCCAGAGGCGCTGTGAGCGCACCCAAGTGGAGGGAGGCGGGGCAGACTGAAAATCAGGGAAGGGTGAGTACTTGGGGTACTTTGAAACGATAATCCTTCACCACAGGATCAATAACCAAGGTGGCCTCAGTCCTAGCTTGACAGACAGTTGCTGGGCAGATGGCCCTCCAGAAGGATTTTCTGTGTAAGGTTGAGCTGGCGTGTGTGCAAGGCTGCAGATCTGGCAGAGGCACTGGGGATAGATCAGGCGTAAGCAGGAGATCCCCTCCTCCATTACCTTCCAGCTTTCTTTATGTAATGTTCGGGAGGGCTCGACACAAGTGACTTTTGGTTCCAATAACTTTCATGCACGCACACACACACACACACACACTGCATATACTATGTATGTGTGTGTTATTTAAGGTCTTTTTTTTTTTTTGGTACAGAGAATTGAACTCAGGACCTTGTGCTTGCCAGGCAGGCACTGTGCCTCTGAGCTCTCTCCCTGGCTATGTGTATGTTATTAAGCAACAAGTTAAACTAACACAAAATAAGAAGAGGGAAATTAATCCTCCATGCCACCATCCCAACACATCCGGTCTCTGTGTTTCCAGGCTTGTCTATTTGCATATGCAAATTTCACCTACTCATAACCCAGTCACAGGTACTCTCTGATGCTCTTCCTTGCGACTCCAAAGTCTTCTCTATATTGCTGTGTGGGATCCCTAAGTTCAATCACCTGTGGAAGTGATGGGTCAAAAAACACTTAAGACAAATGTCTCTGGGAAGAGAATCTTTGTTTACATTTTTGTTATTGTAAATGATGCTGTGATTCACATCTTTATTAGCTCTCCTGTGGCTGTTTTTATCCGGAGCTTATCCTTGGGGTAGATTTCTAGGAGCAGTATTTGTTGAACAAGAGGATAACATCTTCTTGATGTGTACACTGCTGCCTCGGTTCACGAACTTATTCCTTCCACAATTAAGATGACTGCAGTCATGTTTGTCACCCAAAGCAGAGTTTGCAAACAGAAGCAAAATTTTGCTGAATGTTTCTGTCCACGTACTGAATTGTTCGCAAACAGAAGCGTTCGTGAACCAAGATGTTTCCAAATTATTTTCAAAACAGACTTCTCTTCCCCGTGATAGGGAAACGTCTACCACCACAGTCTGCGTGGACCCGAGCTTTGCTGGTCATGAACATTTGCGTCTGACTTGCCGACTCCATAATTCTTTGCTGCCTACTCGTCAGTCCTTCTTTGCTGGCTGTCTCGGAGGATCTGGGTTTTCTCTGTAGGCGTCTTCCCGTGTGATGGGTCTGTATGGGTCAGGGGCAGTATCTCCCCTGCTCACTGAGCCCTTTTGTCATTGGGTAGGACATCTTCATGTCACCTGGGTATAACCCCTTGGTCGTGTTTGCCGAAAATGTTTTCCCTAATCTGTGATGTTTGTGTCCAGCTGTTATCTAGCTGGCCAGATGAGGCCCCATGATGCCAGTCCTGGGCCTTGAGGGACGCTGGGGGACTCCTCCATGCGTGGCAGTCAGACCCCCAAGTGTGTGCCCACGTGGGCACCTATGCAAAGATAGCACCGATTTGGAGTCATAGGGACAGCGGTGCCAGGACTGGCGGTGTGTGCGGGAGAACTGCGCATCCAGCCTGGCACCTGCCCCCACCGGAGTCTGGGTGCCCGCTGCTGGGGCTGCTGCTGGTGGGGAACTGAGTGAGCCGCTTCAGCTCGTGGGAGGAAACAGTCCCCATTTCTCCTTTACCTTGGGTTTCCAAATATTTGTGGCCAAGGAGTCGTGATCCCAAACTGGGTCCATCGCATCTGCCCTGGGGCCAGCCCTGCAGATGGGAATGGGGAGCCCTCGGGACCCCACGTGGTGATCTGACCAGGGGGGCTGAGCTGTAATTTTGTACTTGCCCTCCAGACCCAGCCTGAGCTCTGCCCTGTGCCCAGCACCTGAGGCTGATATTTGTGACCTGTTTGCATCCACCCCTTGCCCTCTGGCTCCCGTTAGGTCAGCTGATGGAAGGTTCTAGAAGGAGGAGAGAGGGCAAGGTCTTTGCTCCCAGGGACCCCTTCCTGGCAGATCCCTGCTGTGGTCCTGAAGCGTCCTTCTGCAGCAGGCCCCATCCTGGCCAGCAGTGCCCACCACTCACTGCCCTTCAGAAATGGGGAGCCTCCCCCTGTGGCCCCTGCCATGCCACTGACCCTCCCTAACTGCTCCCTCCATGCCTGTGGTCCTGCCGTCTGCTTTTCATATTACTCATTGCCCTACAAAATCTTCACTGTCCAAATTACCTTACTGAACACTTGAAATCAACAAAGCTCTTGTAGAAAAGTTACATTTCCTTCCATGACATGCCCATTGGGTTATAGATAATGCCCATGTGGCCCTCTCCACACCAGATGGTGTGACTCGGGGACATCTGAGGCTGACAATGTATTTTAGGTGTGTGGATCTATCCCGGGTTGAACATTTGAGGACCGTGGTTCACTAAGATGATACGCATGTGGTCCTGGGGTGAATCCTGTCATCAGTGACCATGCCACAGAGCAAGCAGGCTGGACATTTCCCTGAGGGCAGAGGGAGCCCATGCCCAGACTCACCTGCACAGCGTGCCATGTTCTGGCTACAGTGGGAAACGAGGGCTTGAAGGAGACACAGAGAATGGGGGGATGGGTCACGTAGAAGGGCACTGAAGGCAGGCACCCAGAGGAACATGGCAGAGGTGTGGGCCCAAAGATGGGAAGTGCTTGGGTGCCAGATGGGCGATCTTGGAGAAGAGTGCAGGTCAGTGCCACCACTAAGACAGAGCACAAAAAAAAAAAAAAAAAAAAAAAGACAGAGCACAAAGGTAGCTAGGTGTGTGATCCCAGCACACTGGGAATCTGAAGCGAGAGGATGCAAAGTTCAAGCTCATCCTGAGCAGTCTAGCAACTTAGCAAGACCCCTGTCTCAAAATTAGAATTAAAAGAGTCAGGGCTGTAGCTCAGGGCAAAGGCCCTGGGGTCCATTCCCAGGACTGGGAAGGAGCAAGGGTGAGAGCGGGGAGACAGAGGGCTCTGTGATTCCAACCACAGTGGAATGTGCTCGCCTGGCAGTGCGGAGAGGAGAATACACACAGGAAGGGTGCACAGCCCTCTCCCGGAGCTCACGGCTGGCACACGGCAGCACACGGTTGGTGCAGGGCCAGGACAAGGAGCAGCTCTGAAGTGAGATGCTCCAAGTCAAGCCTGGGTTTCAGCACCACCAAGCTATGTGACTGCAAGAAGGACACTTTCTGGGCCAGCATTTTCTGGGCCTGCATCTTGCCTTACTGAGCAGGGAACGAGATTGTAATAGCACTTCCCGCAGGTCCCAGGCTTCCTGAGCAAAGCTGCAGGGTGGAATGCCCTTGAGGCACTCCCTCCAATCCTGCACCCCAAGACGAGCACACAGGCATGCTAATGGCTCCAAGCAGCCTCGCCAAAAGAACTGGAAGGCAGCAGTCATCTTTGGCATGGTTTTCTATCAGATGTCAACTTTGCCCTCACGTCTGCTGATGGCCTGTGGAACTGGGGTTTGGGACCTGCTGGCTGAGATCACTGTCAGGGTCTCTTCCTTCTCATGTGTCTGTAAAGTCAAACTCCCCATGATGTATGATTGCTGCCCCAAACTGGTGTGGGCTCCTTTGTCCTGTGCGTGGGAGAAGCAGTCCCTTTTCTAAAGTCAGTATGAGCGAAAGCTCTTGGAGCACATCCCTGATAGGCAGAGCTGTTAGGACCCGCAGGTTCATGTGGGGTCCTTAGAATCACTGCAGAGTCATCGGAGTGTGTAGCAGTAGCCCTGAAAGCAGCCCATACTGGGGATGCGTGCTGCAGTGCACCTAGGTCCTTGGGAGAGGAGGAGGGTAAAGGTGCGGTTAGCAGGCAGGAAGGCGGGGGCACCAGGTGGGGAGGAGAGGTGTTGTGTCACAAAAGCATCTCGAGGGAAGAAGAGAGAAGGGCTTTGCCTCCTAAGGACAATCCTGGTTGACAGAATTCATGATATTGGTCAAAAGATGGCAATGTGCAAAAACAAGGAAAGGAAGTAACCACTCTCTGCTTGTTAAAATGGTCACGCAGAGAACTGGTGCTAGCAGCAGAATCACACGCTCGTCTGCCTGTGAACCTATTACTCACACCAAATAGCACAGAAGGTAATAATGTGTTTTGCTACATTCTCATCAGCATCAAAAAATAAAAAATAAACATAA